TTTCATCTTGAAACTCTAAGTCATGAGTCACACACTTCAGAAATTATGTCCAAGTGAAACTGTTCTCACACTCTACAATGGCCCAAGCAATATGGAACATCTGATTGTTGCCATCCTTTAATACTGCTACAAGCAGTTGACCCTTACAAATGCCTTTCAAAAAGCATCTATCAAGGTCAATTATCTTTCTGTAACCTTCAGACCATCCCTTTTTCATAGCATAGTAGCACATATAAAATGAATTGAAGACAAGCTTGCCTTCACCTTGATCATCTACCTACACAACATAAGTTGTACCTGAATTTGTCTGTAACAGAATATATCTCTATAATCATAGAGTCTCTTGAACTCAGCATGCACATCACCTATTATCTCCTTAAAATTTTTTGCTCTAGCTCTATGGACAGTAGACCTACTAACATACATGTCCAGTTCATCCTTAATGAGTTTCTTTAGCTCCCAAACTTTTATATTTGGTTGAGAAACAATCTTATCCATGTAATGCTTTGCAAGGTATCTGGAGTTTCAAAGCTTGTTTTTGTTTGTTCTGTAATACTTGTGGACATGACAATACTTTTTTACCTTAAATTGTTGGATATGCTATCTTTGCTAGCAGCCAACAACCATGGACATTTTGGGTGCATGCATTTTACCCTCACCCTACCAGGTTCATTAATATACTTCTCAATTTGAACTTCTTTTTCTGAATTGCATACTTAGTAACAACCAACCTAAAATCATCAACACTCTAAAAAATCAGCCCCAACTCCCAGGTTATTTTCTTGACAGTTGGATCATATATCAGGGCTTTTTTTCTCTCTTATTGACAGCCATTCTCTCCTTATATTCTTCATCGAATTCATCTTCAGCATCTGAAGGAAAACTTTCAGCATTAGAAGACCTAAAATAAGGCTCATTTGTCCCTACTAAGCACGTGTACCTATTTTGCTTGCTACCAATTCTTAATTCATCAAAACCAACATTAACTCCTACATCACCTAGGTTAATATCACCCCTATCTTTTGGCCTTTTACTCCTTTTCCTTCTATATTTCCTCAGTTCATCTGTACACTCTACAAATTCTTCATGAATATCATATCCATAATCATTATCATTAGGAACATGCAAGTCTACTCCATCACTCTTATCACCATCAGGAATATTAAAGTCAGAATCATTCTCATTGTCATCCTCACCCTCATTATCATCTGATTCACTATCTACTTTATTCTCTTGTTCTCTTGAAGGTGCAGGGGCAGGGGCATGTGCAGGTTCACTATCGACTTTTTCTAAGATTACCGTGTTCTTAAAAGCTCCACTATTACTCCCACCAACCCCTTTACTAGCCTTATTTATGTCAACAACATTTAAAGGGACAACATGAGTCGCATAAATATCTAAAGTATCCCTATCTTCCAATTTATTACAAATGTCTAATATATCTTTGTTTGTGAGAATATTTACCAATTTATCTGTCATATCCATTGGACAAATATACAACTCAGCCACATTTTTAAATTTCATTAACCTAGTGTAGTTCATCAGTTCAATAAAAGACAGTAAATCCACATTTACATCTAAAGTCAATGTTTGACTATCCCCACATAACGATCAAAGTTACCAGAAACTAAAACCTCATCGTGGTACCACTTGAGTGTAACCAATTTAAAAAATATTTTTCTACAGACAAACAAGGGGATAAATAAATCAACCACCACATGCAACAACTGAAAATAAAGAAATACAAAAGTAGAGACAAAGATAAGAGCATATCACATTATTCAAAGCAATGGTATTACAATAATAATATAAACCCTAACTTTACATACAGTTTACAAACACAAAGTAAATCTCTTTATAAAAAACTCTCTGTAAAGGCAACAACACGACAACTTCACAGTAATATCGACAATGACAAAAGATTCCCCTTTTAAAAAGTGCGAAAACCCTAAAGCAAATGAAGAAATTTCAAAAAAACCCTAGGTTCAACCCACCCATTGCTAAAACAAACGGGTAATGCAAGGGGAAGAAATTACTAACCTAAAATCGCATAAATCTACCTCCCATACAAGATGAAAGTCGCATTTGAGATAGTCGCCGGAATCATCTTCACCAGAGCACCTTCGAGATGTATCGAGAAATGAGAGTTAATTTGGATAAATTAGTTTTAACCATTTTACCGAATGGACCGGGTAGGGTCGAGTTTGTTTGTAAATATAAAAGGTTAAAAATAAGGGGGTCAAGTTTAATGGTTAAAGTCAAACGCGTGAATTACACAGATGAACTTTTTACGGGACATGATCAAAGAAGGTGTGTACTAGATACACTTTAGAAAGATTGCGCGTGTAATATTATTATTGTCCAGAAAATGTGTAAGGAGGATTTGGTCCATAGGTTAGGTGACAACATATGTATTTTGCCAACTATAATTTAGTAACGGTTTTCCTTTTAAGCAAGTATAGTACGTTATAACTAGGAGTGTACATGGACCAGATTGATTTGAATTTTATCAAAGTCAAACCAAACCAATTATATCGGTTTGGATTAGATCGTGTTTGTCGGATTTTTCGATTTTTTTTGTTACATGAATACTATTTTACTCTTACGTTGTTAAATTTTTTATAAGTAAATATATGTTTAGTACAAATTGAAAAATTGACAAACATATGATCTATTAACATATTCTTATGGGAAAATTTTCTTAGTAACATATGATAGTTATTTTTTTAATCGTCTGACAATAATTTTTTTGTTAATGTACACTTTCAAGGTTAACTGAATTTAATAATTGAACATAAAAATCAATGTGATACTATATGTTATATTTAATTTTAAATTATCGAAATACCACTTCAACTTCGAAAAAGATAATAAGAATTTAATAGATCTTGACATATGAATATGGAAGAACAAAGAGATTGACGCATTTCACTAACACTTGATAAGAAAGTGATCATACAATCCGTTATATAAAGTTAATAAAAATAGAGCACTTCATCTTTAACTAATTATTACATCCCATAAGAGAATCACAAATATTTCAAGATATTTTTAAAAGAAAATTCTTAAAAGTATATATAAAAATTATATATTTATATGTCGATTTCGTTCGAATTTTTTTACTCAATGCCAAATCAAATAGAAGCAAACCTAATCAGGTTTTTAATTGATTTGATTTGACTTTTCGGTATAGTTCGATTTTCCGATTCGATTTGTACGCCCCTAGTTATAGCCTTATAAGACGGTGTGTTTCATATGTCAACCATGATACTATTTCCATGTTTAGAAGTATAATAAATTGTCATATTACAATACCATACATAAGATCATTAGACTTTTAAATCGCGACATTATTAATTTTCTTTTTTTGGGACGACCTTTTTGTTTGAATGCGTAATACATTTACTTTGACTATTAAACAATCAGAGTTAATTTTATCCATGGGTCATTGAACTTTTGCGTTTGTTATTCATACTTTTCTTTTTTTTTTGTTACGTAAAAATCATTCAACTTTGTGTTCATTACACAAAAGTCATTTTTTTTTCTTTTGTTACACAAAAATCATTTTACTTTGCTCTAGTTATCACAAAAGTCATATTTTTACTTGAAAAGTCTTATGCCCTTGATATTATATAAACCTTCATATTTATGTAATACCTTCTATATTATATACTATATAATATATTTCTAACTATGTATTTTATTTACAAATAAAATAGTTTAATATTATTTTTATAATATATTCGTATATTTAATTTTTTCTTAACGTTAATTTTCAAAATATATTAGTAGGATTATTAAATTTGTCAGTAACTTTAATATATATTAGTAGAGAAATAAATCGGCAAATACATTTCCGTGAGAAAATTCGCAGGTAAATAAACAAGAAAATGAGGAAAAAATCATATGTCAATTTGATGTGAATTGAGCTAGGGATATTTTCTTAGGGATTTACCTGGGTAATTGGTTATTTGGGAAATTATATTACTAGAAATTCGGAAAAAATCGTCCAAAAAAATCGATCAAAGTTGGTCGGTAATGGCCAATAACCGTTCAAAACGCGACCATTAACGTGTGGTCGGTATTTTGAAAGTCGGAAGGGCATACCGACCAAAGTTGGTCGATAATTACAGACCAACTTTGGTCGGTCAATAAATTCAAAAAAAAAATAATTGCTGAAAAAAGGTTATTTTATAACGCTACTAATATATCTTGAAAATTAACGTTAAGAAAAAATTAAATATATAAAATATTATAAAAAATATTTAGTTAAAATAAAATATATAGTTAAAAATATATTATATATATATATATATATAAAATATAGAAGGTATTAGATAAATACGAAGGTTTATATAATATCAAGGACATAATAGATTTTCCAAGTAAAAATGTGACTTTTATGATAATTAGAGCAAAGTAAAGTAATTTTGTGTAATAAAAGAAAAAAAATAATTTTTGTGTAATGAACACAAAGTTAAATAATTTTTAAATAAAAAAAAAAAAAAACTTTGGATAACAAACACAAAAGTTCAATGACCATGGATAAAATTATGTCTAAGTCTAAAACTTAATTTGAAAGAAAACAACTACTCTACTGTCTAGTATCATTTAAAACGGTTCAGAAAGAATCCAGTGATTTAAGGCAGTTCAATTATATAAGGATTGAAACTGCTTGAACACGAGTAATGGATCGGTTTAACAATTTTACGGCTATAAGATCTTGAAAGAAAAGGAAATAAAAAGATGTTGGAAGATAAGAAGTGCCGACATTCATATAATTGCAGTTCATATTCTAACGGCCAATCACGTCGGTAAAGAGAAGGCCACGTCCACAGTAGTTTCCCATAAAGGCCGTACCACGCGTCCTATAGCAGAGACGTGCTATGTCCAGTAACAACGTGTGTCTCTCAGAGAATGCCACTGCCATGCAAAGGTGGCCAATTGGTTCAATTTTTCCCTCTATAAACCATTCTCATCTTTTTTGTCTTCTCTCCATACAGCTATCTGCTTTCTTTCTTCTGATGACTATAACTATTTGTACATTATATTTACACATTGGTGTCAGAAATCCCAAAGAAAACAAAGGAGCATCGTATATAATTAGAGATCAGGAATTACTGTTTTTTTAAGCTTTGATTATGGAGGCGCAACTGCACCATCCCCAGGATACTGGATTGCACAAAGGTGAGAAATTCTTAATGAACAATGAGATGTAGTAGTATTATATATGCCGTGTTTTTTGAATTGTCTGACTTGAAAGTGTTTTTGTGATTGAAGGGGAAGGCCAAGGTCAAGTTCATGATGAAGGTGAACATCATCATCATAAGAAATCAGTACTAAAGAAGGTTAAGGCAAAGGCAAAAAAGATCAAGGATACTCTAAAGCATGGTCTTGGACACGATCACGACCATGATCAGCACGAGCATCGTCCACTGCAAGGTGAACATGAGGAAGNCCCAAAAAAAATAAAAAATAAAATAAAATAGTACTACTAATTTTTTAGCACGTCAATTACTACTGGCTTAACTGCTTTCTGATTAATGAACTTGTGATTTTCTTGCAATATTCACTGGTCAGATGCTATTAGGAGTAAAGATATTCGAAAAGAGAATGTTGGGCCAATGGTCAATTTAGAGAATCCAACAAGCCCAAAGGAGGATCGTTACGATCATGCTAAGATGAAACATGAAGAAACACATAGGCCAGTTTTGCAGAGACAAGACGAATTTGCAAGGCCACCATCCGTGGGCGAGACTCACTTCCCTGAACAAAGGCATAGACCACCCTTTGCTGAGACTCATGAAACTAAGGGCACTGATCATGGGAAAGTAGAAGATCAAGGATTACACGTGTATAAAATTGGAGCACAAACAGGTCTGGAGAATCCCCACGCCTCCCACTTCTCCCAAGAGAGGGATAGATCACCTTTTGCTGAGACTAAGGGCATTGATCATGCTACTGCCTATGGAAAACAAGAGCATCAAGGACTGCAGGAGCATGAAAATATTGGGGCACCAACAGGTTTGGAGAAGCCTTACTCTTCCCGCTTCCGTGAAGAGATGCATAGGCCACATGCTGCTGCTGAATCTGATATACATGAGACTAAGGACATTGATTATGTTACTGCCCGTGGGAAATTAGAAGATCAAGGACTGCAGGGGCAAAAAATCGGTGTACCAACAGGCATAGAGGAGGATCCTCACGCTCCTAAGGACCGTCCTGAGTTGAGCCCGAATCCAACCAACTATCAGAGTAAAGTAACTGATCCAACAGGCGCCAGTAAGTGTCACTTCTCTTAAATTGCTAGTAAAATAGATTGAATATGTTTTGATTGGATCTTGAAAAAATGCTATATGATGCATTTGTAACAGCTAATGAAGAGGCAGGAGTTAGTCCACTTGTTCCATTATTCGAGAAAATGGGTGTGAATGATGCTCCTCCAGAAACAACACCAAAGCAAGGGACTGAACAAATAATGCCAGAGCTAGGAGCAGGGGACAACAAATTTGATCAAGGAACAGAACACAGCCTATATACAGGAACACATGATCAATTTGCACCACAGGAAGAACCTACTGGTTTCCCCTCAGTTCCTAAAAACACTGAATCACTTCCTAAAAGCATGAATCCTAGCAAGCCAGAAGATTCGCCTCAGGACGCACTAACTGGAAAACCAGGTAGCTATACAGAGAAAATTTCATCCGCCACATCAGCAATTGCTGATAAGGCAGTTGCTGCTAAGAATGTTGTTGCCTCCAAGCTTGGGTATGGTGGCACAGAGGAGGACACAAGAAAGTCACAGGCAAGTGTAGGTGATGAAGATAAAGCAAAAACAACCTCAGCAACTGAATTAGCACAAAAAGCTGTGAGCACAGTGGCAGAAAAACTTGCTCCTGTTTATGAAAAAGTAGCAGGTGCTGGCACCAGAGTCATGGCAAAAGTTGAGGGCACAGCAACTGGAGTAACAGGACATGAAAGCAGGGGAGGAGTTGATGCAGAACATGAAGACAAGACTAAAGCTACTGATAAAGGAGTTTCAATGAAGGAGTATTTGGCCGAGAAATTTAAGCCTGGAGAGGAGGACAAGGCGCTGTCTGAGGTGATTTCAGGATCACTTTCGAGACAGAAGGAGAAAACAGAGGAGTCAAAGCCAATGGGGAAGGTAACGGAATCGGAGGAAGAGGAGAGGCGATTAGGTCCTATTGAAGACGCAAAGAAAGAAGAAGATGGTGCTTCTGGGGAAACTCAAGTTGGCGAAGGCTTTGGACAGGGTGTAGTGGATAGGCTTAAAGATGCTGTAACTACGTGGCTTGGGAAAGGTGGTGAAACACAGACGTCCACAAATGGTAAGCAAAATGTATCAGATGTTTGTTGCAGTTTTCCCCATTTTGACATCTATTAACAACAAAATAAATGTTTAATTTAGTGCTAATTGAGTTGATTTTTGTTTTTGGGATTTAGGAACAAATTCTGCTGTGCATGGAGGTGCTGTAGTTGGAAGGGGTACATGATCAGGATGTTTGCGAAATTGAAGTTATACAACCATGATTCCTTGACTTCTTGTGCTTTGCATTTTCGCTTAATTTTCTTTTTTGTTGTGGTGTGTTCAAACATAAGCTTATTCTAGGAAGTTGTATTTTGCCTATTCTGTGTTTTGTAATCACACATATTAAGTTGTAGTATATCGATCTGTGGTGGTTCACTCCAGCTAGTTTGGGGTTCTGTTGTTTTGTACTGACCTGTGAAACTCATGGACAAGCGGGCCAAATGGACATGTGGTTTCCTGTACCTATTGGTGTTGTGTTCCACCGTGTTTTCTAGTTTTTCCTAGAGGCCAATAAATTGCATTGGGTCCTTACTCAGTTCTTTTCCTTACCAAGAGGCTACTTAAAATCTGAAACTGAATATATAATGTATCTGTTCGATTTGAAATAACACGCATCATTTATTTCCTCCGCTGCTAATGTTCATAAGGCGAGAAAACTGATAATAGTGCCGAGCAATAAATGGAACTGGGAAAAGTTTTGGATCACGTTTTACGTTTCACTTGCCTCTTCATCTCTTATAGAGGATCCCCTTGTATCAAACTTTTCTGCTTATATTTTCGACAATCAAATTAAAACAATAAAATTGAATTTAGAGGGATATGATTGTCACTAACCCCTTGCGCTATTGGCCAATTACCCGGAACTAGCTATACCTTTTTCCTCCCATTTTGTTATTTGAATGAATACGAAAGTGGCTACCACAGTCACAGAACTTTTTACTAAGCAAGTTGAGCTAAAGTTATGGAAACAAAGTAATACTGAATTTTTTTGATAGCTTAATGGTGTATTTTGATTCTCCACCTTACGTATACCAGTATCTTTTGTAAGTGACTCTATTGGGATTGTATATCCTAGAAGGAACTAGTCACGTAGTACTTTAGTTTCTATAGTATATTAACAAAATTATCTTTTAAAAAAAATCAAGGAGGAGAAGTCTACGCCACAATGTCCTACATTTCTCGATACTTTTACCAAAATACAGCATAGAGAAAGAACACAGGGTTTAACTGAACTACTGAAACACTACAACTAAAATTTTTATTTTGTGTCTCACACAACTCACAAAACTTCAGCTAGAACCTAACATTTTCTGAGGTTCTGTTCTTGTTCAGAGCATTGAGAAGTATCTCGAGTATATTATTATCGTTTCTGAGGTTCTGTTCTTGTTCAGAGCATTGAGAAGTATCTCGAGTATATTATTATCGTTTCTGAGGTTCTGTTCTTGTTCAGAGCATTGAGAAGTATCTCGAGTATATTATTATCGTTTCTGAGGTTCTGTTCTTGTTCAGAGCATTGAGAAGTATCTCGAGTATATTATTATCGTGTAGTCCCTGTGTATTTCTCCTTTTCTATAATTTCATAGTTTGGTTTCTACTTTCTAGAGGACAAATATAGAAGCGACAAGAGTTCACATGGTTGGTACTTGCATATTTCTCGTAAAAGAACAAAAATAGTGTCTCGCTATCCATTTACATTAACGTATTTGATGGAAGTTTAATATGTTAAATTTTATTGTATTATATTTTATTGGTAGTAAGTACAGAAACACCATAATGCAGCTGAAAAGTTAGCTTAGTTAACACCACAAATGTCTCATTATTATTTAAAATTTTGAATTGTTTAATATATTTAGGTTCTCGATTATTGTAAAAGTTGTACAAAAATGTATTATTGTCAAACATTATGAAGGATTCAAAACACAAATATAAGGGAAGTGTCACATAGATAGAAGGAGATGGATAGCTAATTTGAGCTGATGCAGCAACAATGTCAAACTAGGTAAGTTGCCGATGTAGCCATTGATCACACCCAACTCTAGTCCTAAAAAGGATAAACGGTCGTTGCAAATATAATTCAGTTTAAAAGTCTAGAGTCGAATCCCACAAAAAACTAAGGTTTCACTATAACTGTTCAATATCACTAAGAAGACAAGCTCGAACAATTCCTAAGTTATAAAAATTTCGATTCTTATTTTAAACTAATTAACAAGCAACTATTAAAAGCAGTAAAATTATCAACTAACAGACTAAGGATTGAAGATAAGATTTGAAAGGTTTAGGGTTACGATTTCCCCAATCGTCGGAATCCTCCCCACTACGTCTCTTATAAATTTGCCTATATATTCTTTACCGATCGTGAGTACTTCCGGTGTCGTAATTATCTTCTGAGCAACTACAACAATTTACTAGACATATTCTTCCGAACTACACTAGCTGACACTAATTCACCGCTCACTAAGATAACATCAAGGTTTCGTTATTCCTAATTCCACCTTTAAACCCTCCGTATTAATTCATCACGTACGTTAGGAGTGATGAATTAATACTAATTCCACCTTTCTTTTATAAATACTAGCTAAGACGATTATACCACATTCGTCCTGATTGCTTTAGACCATACAAAGATTTTTGCAATTTGATTGAAAACATTTTTCGGGACTTTGAATTATGTGCGTTTGGCATTTTAAATCCATTGAGAATTTTCATGTATATCTCATTATCAAGTGAGCCATAAAGGTAGGCGGTAACCACATCCATTAAATGCATGTCAAGATTTTCATGGACAACAAAACTAATGAGATAACGGAACGTTATAGCATCCATAACAGATGAATATATCTCTTCATAATCGACACCAGGCCTTTGTGAAAATCCTTGTGCAACAAGGCGTACCTTATATCTTTGTACCTCATTTTTCTCATTTCTCTTGCGTACAAAGACCCATTTATAGCCAACAGGCTTAACACCATTAGGTGTTTGGACTACAGGCCCAAAAACTTCACGGTTTGCAAGTGAATTCAACTCTGATTGGATTGCTTCTTTACATTTTGGCCAATCAAGTCTTTGTCGACATTCTCTAACAGATTGATATTCAAGATCCTCACTTTCTTGCATAATGCTAGATGCAACATTATATGCAAAGACATAATCCACTACTATATCCACTCGTTTCAAATTTATCTCAATATCGATTGGATTTATTGATAGTTCCTTATTTTCTTGAGCCTCGGGCTCAGTGGATTCCTCATGAATCTCAGAATTTATTAAATCATGGATTTCTTCATGAGATTCTTTCGTAGTGTCATTTTGATCATTTGTTTTGCTTTTTCTAGGATTTCGATCTTTTGAACCTAATGGTCTACCACATTTTAGGCATGCTTTTGACTCATTAGCTATGACACTAGAAGATTGTCCAATAGGGACATCAATACGGATTGGAACATTCTCTGCAGGGATATGTGATTTTGTTATCCTTTTCAAATCCGTAAATACGTCTGGCATTTGGTTTGCTATTCTCTGCAAATGGATAATCTTTTGCACCTCTTTTTTACAAATAGAAGCACGTGGATCAAGATGAGATAATGATGGATTTTTCCACAAAATTTTCCGTTTGGTTTCACCAACTTCTCCCCCTAATTTTGGGAAAAGTGTCTCATCGAATCGACAGACTGCAAATTGTGCAGTAAAAAAATTCCCGTTAATGTTTCGAGGTAGCGAATAATGGAGGGCGATTCAAACCCAACATATATTCCTAACCTTCTTTGCGGACCCATTTTGGTGCGATATGGCGGTGCTATAGGCACATATACTGCGCATCCAAAAATTCTTAAATGGGACATATTAGGTTCATGACCCAAAACTAATTGCAAAGGGGAATATTTATCATAATTTGTCGGTCTGAGACGAACTAGTATTGCTGCATGCAAAATGGCATGACCCCAAACAGAAGTGGGCAGCCTCGTTTTCATGAGTAACAGTCTTGCTATCAATTGCAGACGTTTAATTAAAGACTCTGCAAGACCATTTTGAGTGTGAACATGAGCTACAGTATGTTCCACTTTTATCCCAATTGATAAGCAATAATCGTTAAATGCTTGGGATGAAAACTCAACAGCATTATCAAGTCTAATAGACTTAATTGGATTATCGGGAAATTGTGCCCGTAATCGAATTATTTGTGCCATTAATTTTGCAAACGCGAGGTTGCGAGATGACAATAGGCACACATGGGACCATCTAGAAGATGCGTCTATTAAGACCATAAAATATCTAAACGACCCACTAGGTGGGTGAATAGGTCCACAAATGTCCCCTTGTATACGTTCCAAAAACGCAGGGGACTCAATTCCAACCTTTGTTGGTGATGGTCTAATAATTAACTTGCCTTGATAACAAGAAGTGCAAGAAAATTCATTATTTAAAAGAATCTTTAAATTCTTTAATGAATGCCCATTTGAGTTTTCTATAATTTGTTTCATCATAATTGATCCAGGGTATCTCAATCGATCATGCCAAAGTACAAAAATATTGGAATCGGTAACCTTTTGGTTTACGGTAGAATGTGCCTCAATTGCACTAATTCTTGGCCAATACAGGCCATAAGATAAAGATGAGAACTTCTCAATAACCCTCTTTTGGCCAGAGACATTCTTGGTAATGATGAGATATTCAAGATTATTCTCATCTATTGTCTCAATATGATATCCATTTCGACGGATATCTTTAAAACTCAACAAGTTCCTCTTGGACTTGGAGGAGAACATTGCATTCTCTATGATAAGTATTGTTCCCTTAGGCAGAGTTATAGTAGCTCTTCCAGAGCCTTCAATTAATTTACTACTACCAGAAATTGTAGTAACATCTGCCTTACACATATTTAAATGAGAGAAATATTTCTTCTCTTTGAATATTGTATGTGTTGTACATGAATCAATTAAACAAATATTTTTACAATTGAACTTTGTTCCAAGTTTGTTTTGTGAGATATCCATATTTGCTTCCCATTGTTTTGACATACAAAAGAAATATATGAATAAATATTAGTATTTTCAGAGATAAAAGAAAAGAAACAATTATAAGTACACAACACATATGATTAATACAATTATAACAAATTTATTTACATGTATAAGTTATTTACTTTTATATTTAATAAAGAAAAATAAAAAAATGAATGAATGGACCGTTTCCCCATTTTTGAGTATCAACACTAATTATATTAAACAATTATACATTCATATTAAGCTGGTTATACCATCACAATATCGTAAAATAAATAACAACAAAAAATAACTATAATAATTTAAGTGATCAAGTGTGCAAATCACTTACGAAACATGCTTATACAGTTTACTTATAGCTAAAAATTGATGATAACAATTGGACTATAATTCTTACGTTTAAAAATAAGTTAGTCATGTATTCACATACATACAATGTTACAAAGTTATTGATGGTTTACAATACATACTGTATTATGAAATAACAGTTTTATTATCAATATATTCACACGCTAAAATAAGTTCTGTGCGTTACATATATATGCATGAATGCACAACATACGTATAATAACGTATTACTACTACCACCAGCAACCAAAGTGTTCCAACGTTTTTAACGAGCACGCATTGTTGAAAAACGAAACCAGAAGACTAAATAAACCGAAACATTGTTTAAAACGAATACTAGAACAATATTTAATCGAAACGAACTAACACAATTTTATAAAACAAATAAAACTAATGACTATACTCATGTAAAGAACTATGATTACATGATAATTATTCACTAACTACTATGAATAGGCAAAAATAAAAATTAAACTACTCAATCATCTTTAACCACAGATCCATCACCGATCAAATGGTCCACTTTCCCATCAGGGCGCTCAAAGAAGTCTGCCATATCTAAGTGGGTGATGTCAAATTCATTGTCATAGACAAAGTTAGCTTCAGGGCCTTTGTTCTTTAGAGATGTTTGATAAAGCTCAACCAAATGTCTTGGTACACGACAAATATTTGCCCAATGGCCTTTTCCACCGCAATGATAACATTCGGTTTCTAAACCATTTGTCTTTGGTTTCTCATCTTTCCCTTTCCATTTTTGGTGGTTATTTTTCTTTGGGGGGTGATTAACACCAGGAAAATTTCTTCCTTGTCCACGGCCACGACCACGACCACGACCACGAATAGGGCAATCTTTCTCAATCATTCTCTATGCTTAGCCATTCTCTCCAATACTTCCCCTCAAGCTAGTGAGAGGTGGTTTCACCACTCCTAGCTTGCTGCGAAGAATTGTAAACTGATCCTTTGCCAGAGCTTTAGTATGAATATCTGCGAGTTGATCCCTTGATCGCACAAACTGAGTGAGAAGCTGTCCTTGTGCAACTTTCTCTCTCACAAAATGATAATCAAGTTCAACATGCTTAGTTCTAGCATGCATAACTGGATTTGTGGTCATATAAAGTGCACTAAGGTTGTCAGAAAACAATATAAGAGTTGTTTTGAGACAAACCCCAATATCACGTAGCACAAAAGTTATCCAAGTAAGTTCAGCAGCTGTGGATGCTAAGGCTCTGTATTCAGCCTCTGCACTTGATCTTGCAACTTTATGTTGTTTCCTTGAGGACCACGAAATGCAATTTGCTCCTAAGTAAATGTTATACCCAGTGGTTGACCTCCTTGTAGAAGGACATCCTACCCAATTAGCATAAGAAAAACCATATAGCCTCAAAGGAGACCGAGATAAAATGCGTAACCCATAATCTAAATACCCTTGACATATCGTAAAATTCTCTTAATAGCTTGCAAATGAAATGTGGTTTGCATAAACTGGCTTACAAGATTTACAACATGTGTTATGTCGGGTCTATTGAGTGTTAAGTACTGTAAACTTCCCACAATACTCCTATACAATGATGGATCAACTAAATCACCAAAAGCTTCTTGCAATCCATGTTTTTGTGCTAATGGAGTCCCAACTGCCTTTGCTTGTGTCATATTCACTTTCTTGAGTAAATCAGTAGCATACCTACGTTGGCTCAAATGTATTCCTCCTCGAAAGTAAGACACATCAATGCCCAAAAAGAAGCTTAAAGGTCCAAGATCTTTCATGGCAAACTCAACATTAGTTTCCCAATAATTTCTGAAATATGCTCATGATTGCTTCCTGTTACAATTATGTCATCCACATAGAGAAGAAGCAAAATTGTTCCCTGTTTACAATGAAGTATAAATAGAGAAGGGTCTGCTCTACTACATCTAAAACCAAGATGAAGCAAGTAAAGACAACCTTTCAAACCAGGCCCTAGGGGCTTGCTTTAATCCATATAATGCCTTTTTCAATAAACAAACATGATCTGGATACTCAGAATTCACGAAACTTGGAAGTTGTGCCATATATACTTTTTCATGTAGTAATCCATGTAAGAATGCATTTTTAACATCAAGTTGTCTTATAGGCCAATGCAAACTCACAGCTAGTGATAAAACTATCCTTATTGTTGCAGACTTAACCACAGGACTAAACGTTTCTTCATAATCTATACCTTCAAGTTGTGAGTAACCTTTAGCTACTAATCGTGCTTTATACCTTTCTATGGATCCATCAGATTTTTTATTTTATTTTAAACACCCATTTCGAGCCAACAACATTCATACCTGCTTTCCTGGGAACAAGACTCCATGTTTCATTTTTATCGAGTGCTTCTAACTCCTCTTGCATTGTTGTGTACCAGTGTGGGATAGTTAATGCTTCATTCACTGATTTGGGTTCACCATATGCACCTCCTATTTTTGCAATCACAGCATTGCAAACATAATCGCCAAGATAACTTGGGGTTTTTGTTTCTCTCTGACTTTTTCTTCGTTGCACCTCTTCGGGTTGTGTGTCTTCAGCCAATTGACTTGGTACAACAGCTTCAGTCAACTGATTTGATGTAGCAGCTTCAGTCTCGCTTGGTGCAACAACCTTGGTCGACTCATCTGGTACAACGACTTGATTTGACTCATTTGGTGCAGCAATAACTTCAGCTAGCTCAATGATGTATTGTTCACCTCCTGTGAACACTTCCCCTGAAGTAATGGGCTCCTCATCTACATTCCTGCATTCAAAATTTGAAGAGCTCACATTGGAGTTGTTAGAAGAATTCGAGGCATCATAATCTGACGATGTAGTGAAAAATTCATGAAATATGGCCAAATGAATGGAACTTGCAACATCCTGATGCTTTTCTTGAGACTTCACATATGGTAAAGTTAGTTCATCAAATACCACATTTCTTGATATAAAAACTCTCCAACTCACTGGATGAAAACATCTATAACCCTTATGCAGATTGCTATAGCCAATGAATACATACGGATAAGTCTTCGGAGAAAACTTTCCTTTCAAATAGGGATAACATCAACATCCAAACACCTTCAAGATATTATAATCAAGATGAGTTCCATATAATTTGAAAATAGGAGATTCCATCTTGAGAACCGATGAGGGCATCTTATTTATAAGAAAGGTAGCAGTCAAGAATGCATCAACCCATAAGAAAAGAGGCAACTTAGCATGAAACAATAGTGTTAAACCGGTCTCTACAATGTGTCTATGTTTTCTCTCTGCAACTCCATTTTGCTCAGGAGTATTCGGGCACGAAATATGCCTCACAATTCCACTATTTTCTAGATGATTAATAAACTCAGCTTTGGAGAATTCACCCCCTCCATCACATTGAAAAACTTTAATCTTCTTTGAAAATTGAGTTTCAACCATTCTTTGGAACTTAACAAATACCGCAAACACTTCAGATTTCTTTTTCAAAGGATACAACCAGGTGTACCTAGTATGATCATCAACAAAAATTACATAATATAACATATGTTGCGATGATTCAATAGGTGCAGGTCCCTATACATCTCAATGAATTTTCAACAAAGGTTCATTTTCAATCTTATTTCTTTGCTCAAAAGGTAACTTACAACTTTTGCCCATTTGACAACTAACACATATAGTAGGGGTTTTATTCCAACATGTGATATTGATACGCTTATTGTTACTCAAGAAATGTAAAAGCTTCAAATTCAGATGCCCTAATCTTGCATGCCAAATACTAGATGTACTCCTCTGTGTCGCAGTCAAGGACTTAAGGTTGTTGTTATCCAAAGCATACGGTCCTCCTCTTTTAGATCCTATCGCCAATATTTTCCTTGTTGCCTTGTACTTTACAACAAAAAATGATTCAGAAAACTCAATCGTGCAAAAATTATCCTTTGATAACTTACTAACTAAAAGTAAGTTATTTTTAAGTTCTGGAACTACAAGTACTTCTTGCATTTTTAAGCCAGAAACTTCTGCACTTCCAACAAGTGTTATGTTAAGTTCTGAACCATTACCAACAACAATTTTATCAGAACCTTTATAAGGCTGAAGATTGGACAAGTTACCTGGAGAATTTATCATATGTGTACTAGCCCCGGAGTCGACATACATTGTGTTGTCCTCATTCTTTGTGTCTTGTAAGTTTACTACAGCTAGAGCTTGAGGAAGATCATCAGACGCTTGATAAGAGAAATCCCATCGGTAGAAACATTTAAGAGCAGTATGATTGTTTCTACCACAAATTTGACAGGGTGATGAGATCTCCTTACCTTTTTGGGCATTCATACCTTGAGTAATCTGATTGTTTTGACCAACAGCAGGACGAAATCCTCTATCTAGAAGAGAAGCTGCCTCTTCGTTGATTAGATCCACCACAGCCTCGATAAAACCTTTGAGCTTGAAAAGCCATATTGTGATTTAGTTGAGTATCTTCGTCATCCTCTCTTATATCGAATCCTCTTAGTGCATTGATCAATTGATTTAAGATGGGATATGGAGGCTTTCCTAGCATAACTGTCCTAAATGTTCTATACTTAAGACCTAGCCCTCTATCAAAGTTGATTACCTTACTATCTTCATCCACAGGCTTGTGTATGGCTGCCAAATCATCACAAATGCCCTTGAATTCTTTGAGATAATCATCCGTGGATCTGCTGCCCAACCTAATGTTTTGGAGTTGTTGCTTAATTTGAAACTCCTTATCTTTGGTTTCTTGAAGGTATGTCTCCTCCAGGCAGTCCCACATCTCTTTAGTAGATGAACATCCTGCGATAAGGTATATGCTTTCCTCAGACATTGTACCAGATATCCAGCTTCTTAATAACACATCCTTCTCCTCTAAATCATCACTATCCGTGCTCTTCTTGGATGTACTGTCTGAAGTTTCACCTTTGATAAGATGAGAAAGCTTCATAGCTTAGATCAATTGAAGCATTTGAGTTCTCCATATGAGATAGTTTGTCGGTTTGAGCTTAATAGGACATGATAAAATGAGATGATGGAGAGAAGCAGTAGATAGAGATGTTGCAGAGGCCATCATTTTTTTTAAATAGAAGAGTTTAGGATTAGACTGTTGAATAAGTACTGCGCAACAAGAAAGCTTAATGCTCTGATGCCATGTAGAAATTAGAGAAGAAAGGGATAATCTTTTGTATTCAGTTCATGAATCAATCGTACAATGGTTGCCTTTTATACTGATTAAGGCGCAACTAAGACTCTCTAAGAGATAAGGATAGATACAAAGGAATAGTCCTACACTTATCAGGATACATAATTTTATCAATAATACAAAGTAACTTTATCATAATATAACTACTATATCTACAAAATCTTTCTCAATCTTTCTCTATGCTTAGCCATTCTCTCCAACAAGGGCCACGACCTTTTCCACGCTTAGCATAATGGGAATATATCTCATCCACTTCAGGCAATGGTATAGACCCAGTGGGTCGATTTTCGTGATTTCTCATGAGCAAGTCATTGTTTCGCTCAGCCACAAGGAGAAGAGAAATCAACTCAGAGTACTTCTTAAAACCTTTCTCTCTGTACTGCTGTTGCAGGACCATATTGGAGGCATGAAACGTTGTAAACATTTTTTCAAGCATAATCAGTGATAGTATCTCCACAGAGTTTCAATTTAGAAGTAATTCTGAACATCACAGAATTATATTCAGAAACAGATTTAAAGTCTTGGAGCCTCAGATGAGCCCAATCATATCGTGCTTGTGGAAGAGCGACCAACTTTAAGTTGTCATATCTTTCCTTTAAGCCATTCCACAAAACAAGTGGATCTTTGACTGTGAGATATTCTATTTTCAACCCTTCATCAAGGTGATGACGCAAGAAAATCAAGGCCTTAGCATAGTCTTGAGTGGATGCTTTAATTTTGTCTTTAATGACGTCTCCAAGACTCATTGCATCTAAATGGATTTTAGCATCCAACACCCATGTCATATAGTTCTTGCCCGAAATTTCAAGGGCAACGAACTTTCTTTTCATAATATCAGTCATAATTAAAAGAGGAGAAAAGTTGTACCTTAATCTTCTTGAGACGGTAGAGTCTCGTGCTGATAATGTGTTATAAAATAATAAAAGAAGAAGAGTATTGCAGAGCAAAGTAAAGAGAGAGAGAATTCTTATTGATATGACATGAATTACAATGGAATAGAACTCTCTATTTTTAGGGAGAGAGTGACTTAGCCACCAAGTAATAAACCCTAGAATCTCTCTAAATATGGACATTCACCATAAATAAAATTCTATTTATAACAAAACCAAATAAGTTCAGATTGGCTTGATTTTAAAAGTTTAATTTTGGAGTACCTGGTTTGGTTATTTCAAATTCTTAATTTAAGCAAATAAGTTGTGGTTCTTCTTTTGTTAACAAAAATGAATCGTCAAATAAAATATTCATCTCATAGTGCATTACCAATTCCTTATTCTCACCACAATCTAAAAAAATTTAGTAATTGCAAGTACAAATGTAAACCTTGGATATATTAAAAAAAAATTGAAAGAAAAAAATACGAAATAAATTAGATTGATAAAACTATCATGTGAAATCTTCGTTAAATAAAAGGAAAACTACTCCAATTGTCAGTCCATAAAGATTTTAAATCAAAACTATCCCAAAATTAAATATCTACCAGAAATAGCCAAGTATCATTTTGTAACACATATCTATTTTGCTAAAACACAGAGACATTCCAAATATTTTGAGACACTAGACTTGAGCAATATTATAATATTCTAATTCCTTTAAGTTGAAATTCAGAGAATCAAGCACCTTAATTTGATTTAAAAACTGCTATTAAACGTTATTTTGTTGGATTGGGTCAAAGGGTTAAACTAAAAGCGCCATGGACAACAATTGAAATTTGCTTAAGCTTGAATTCAAATTTTGGAGTTTTCAAAATTAGAATTTATTTCGAGTGGGTGTTGTTGGAATAGATTGAGCAGTCAAACCTCTTTATAACAGCCGCGTTAGTTCCGATATTTTTTGGACGCTGTAGTGAATTGCTATTATAGAGGATATATATTATAACATAACATAAAAGATCGGTTCCAAGAAAACTTGGCATTTATAGTGAATGACTATTATATAAGGATATTGTTATAGAGGGGGCCGACTGTATATCTTAAGGAGTGCAAAACTCAATTTTGGGACGATTTGGTGGAGATGTTAGCTGGTTTGAATTTGAATTAAATTTTGAGCCAAATTTGAAGTACACAAGATGAACATGGAAGAAGATGATATGTGTATCTCACTGTATATCTCCCCTGTATCTTTTGTGTATCACTTGTGTATCAAATATATATCTCCTGTATATCAATGTATACCTGTATGTGAGCTATATGTTTGATTCATATGCCGTAGAGAAATTTTTAAACTCGATTTTAGCTATGAATTTTGACTCAAAACTAGTTCAAATCACCTCCAATTTTCATCAAATTTTGTATATTGACTAATCTATATGTTTTCAATGAATTTCAACCATATCCATTCAAAAAGATCCCTTTTTTGCTTAGGCTTTTGGAATATATATATATATATA